TGATAAAATATAAGAAATACTTAATGAAAAAGTTTTTGATAGAGAATATGGCATGAATGCTAATAATGTATCTAAATTTAACGTTTCTTTATTTGTTAGGTTGTTCTAAATGTATGATCTAAATGCTACATAAAACATAATTTGTAAAATGTTATTTGTATTTATATAAGAATATTTTGTTACATAACATATTTCAAGAAGTACTGACAGAAATTGACTCTGGGTTTAGATCAAGTTTTGAATTTTGGTCCCTCTGTGTAATGAAGATACCCCTGAGCTACACCGAAGCTTCATACATTTATGTAACAAATGGTAAAATGTTAAAAATTTATACAGCACTGAGAAACTTAACTTGATTCATTTTACAATGTAAACTAAGAAAGTATAAGATCGTCCATCTTTTATTTATAATACTTACAGAAAAAAGCTGCTTGTTTGAACAACCTATTTTAGAATTTCAAATTAGCATAAAATAAAAAAACTGGAAACATAAATAAGTTTGGTTTCTCTACTCATTCAGATCTAGAAAATACTGAAAGCAAACAATATTTTTCCACATTTTTTTAGGACTTCATAAGAACCTGAGGTTAGACTGAACTCACAGATATTTAGCATCCACTTGATGTCAATCACTACGATACGAAACTGAAGTTACGGAACAAGAAACAACATTTAGAGAAGTTTAAGACAGAAACATACTTTACCTCAAAAAAAAAAAAAATCCAGTTGCACCAGAATGATCCGTCTTCAGACACTTTTGAGAAAGACTAGATTAGAACGATGAAGTGCCGTCAGCCGTCAGCACTGATGCGCTGCAGAAGGTCAACACGAACAATAGCAAACAACACAACTCTAAAAGGATAAAGCCTAAAGCTCCGGAGCTCTAAAACTGCTCTGCTGCAGCTGAAACTCCACCGGACTGCAAGCGTCAGACGTTCTGCCAACACGCTTCACCGTCGAGATAATATTATCTGAGCTTTAGAAGCCTCGGCGGTCTGAACGCTGGAGCAGCGAGTTACATTAGATCTGCTTGGCTTTTTCCTTCTTTCATTCTCTCCATTTCGGTTCTTTGGAAAGCTGTAGCTCCTGGCAGCTGCCCACTTTGTAACCCCCCACCCCCACCTCTGCCACACACACACACACAAATGTTGGTCTACCATCTAGAAAGATTGCAGTTGAAGCTAAGAGCTGCACATTTGGCCAAAGAGACCTATAATTGGTCTGATGATATAAGAGCCTAGTCAAACCAAAGCTTATCCAAACTTTAAAACCTTATATGGCATGAGTTTCTCCAAATAACACCCGGCAACCACAGTGAATACAGCTAATATTGACTCTGTTTCCAAGACATCCAACCAGGCACAAAGAGAGCTCATTAGCTCTCCATCATGCTGAGCTGTAATTGTCAATTTAAATAAATGTTCTTAATTTTGTCAACTGAGCACCAAAAGCAAATCTACTTTTCCATGTCGTGTTAAAACGTGCAAACTACATATGTACGGCTCATGTCGAATGAAGGCCAATAAATATCACAATGCCTGAAACTCATTTGGATTCAAAAACATGGAAAAATACCACTGAGAGAATGTAAAAATGCCAAAGAGGTCAGGAAGAAAAGACAAGAAAGAAAAAAAACCTGGAACTGTAGCAGGAGAAAGAGGGACTCACATTCACTGTACACATGGAGGTGGAATTTCAGGTGTGAGTCACGCTGCTTTTAAACAAACTCATAAAACCACAGGAGTCAAATATGCACTCGTATTTTCCTGTTTCTGCATTACTGAGAGAGAGTAAGACACAGAAAATGTGCCTGCTGGAGGAAAAAATGACAGCATTGTGTCGTGCTGCTGCCATGTTTCACTTGAGTAGAGTACATTTTTGATGCAACATTGGGATTTAAATGTACAATTACACAAGCTACAAGCAATCTAGTTGTGACTCAATTATTCAGACTTTAACTGTGCTTTTATTTTGAAACAACTGTAACCACACATAACATGTAGCTCCAAAACTAGCCAGTTTTAGAAAATCAACTTCTTGCAAGTGGGTAGTGAAGATGCTAAAAAAACTAAATAAAAAAATTTAAAAATTGGGACATTAATCTGCACTACATAACCAATTATAGTGAGTAAATGTATTCTAATGTATTGAAAATAACCTTTATTAAAGCATTTATTATAACCAGGCATCTCTACTTCAATCAAAGTGTAAAAATGTTTTAGTTACTATTCAAAGCAGCCTTCTCCGATCAGGACTAATCAGGATCTAAACAAAGACCTGCAACAGTGCGAAACATACAACGGGTAAAATAAGTATTGAACAYGTCACCATTTTTCTCAGTGTTTCCTTGTGTTGTTTTAATCCCTTTATATTATTGTGTAATCACTTCAAAATTATTACTGTTCCAACTTATTTTGTTAAGTAGTTGTGGTTTTGCTTGTTTTATTTTATTTTATAATTCAGAAGTCTATTGTCAGTCAAGAAGAACTAATGATTCTGTGCAAATCTGATTAAACCAAAACAATAAGGAGTGAAGATGAAAACACTTTGTGACAATCTGTTTCATCTATAGTAAAATATTCTGAACAGTTTCTGTTCAGTGATTAAATCAGGTTTTTAGTTTACTTTTACTGGAGTTTGAAAAACTGACATTTGTAACAGTCGTGTTTTTAAATACCTTAGCTGTGTTTTAAGTTCTTGAAAGCGCGGCCTCTTGCTGGGATCGTACGACCAGCATTTTGTCATCAGGCTGTAGAGCGTGGGAGGGCACTGAGGGGGCATAGCAAGCCGCTCTCCATTCTCTATCCTGCCAATAACGTCGTTGTTCTTCACACCCTGGAAAGGCTTGATGCCAAACATCAGAATCTCCCACATGCAGACGCCTGTAGGCAGACAGGCATATTTAAGTATTTCAATGTCAAAGCAAAAGATCTGAAGATCAGACAACGAATGAACACAAAAAAATGAGACATATAAAAACTTAAGATTACCGAACATCCAGACGTCGCTGGCTGAAGTAAATCTTCTGAAGTTGATGGATTCTGGGGCCATCCATTTGATAGGTAGTTTACCTTTAGATGCTGGAAAATGGAAATAAAAAAAAACAAGTTACACTTTCTACTTTTATACTACATTATTACAGCGTTTACCTCGTCGTTTTCCAAAGGGTGGGGGGTTTTCCTAACAGAACGGCCCACCGCCTCATGAAGGTTATATCATGTAAAAACATTATCATCTGTTGTTCAAAAGGTATAATCTGGAACAAAATTATCTGGATTTTGCAATCCCCTTCATTGCTATCCAGGATCACGTAATCTGTCTTATTTTTATTACAGCTGTTTAAAGAAACGTTAGATTAAATTAGTCTCATCCTGATTACCAATTTTGGATAATGAGCACGTCACACTGAAGGCTGCTACATACGTAAAACAGGTAGAATATCTAACAMTAAAAGGATATTTATTTAATAATAATAATAATTAAGTAAAAATACAAACTGCTCATCTCTTGACCAGCCACAACATATCTGTTACACAAAAACAAAAAAAAAACAAAAACAAAATATGATCCATGTAAAACCTAATTTTAAAATAAAAATCTTGATCCTGAAACACATTTTTTTTTAAGTTTGAAACTTTCCTTTCAGGAAACGGATCTCAAGTTCAGTTTTAGTTTGCTGCAGTTAGATTAACACTTCTCTGCCAGGTGAATCTGTACTTATGCTCTTTCAATAGAATAGAATAGAATAGAATAGAATAGAATAGAATAGAATAGAACTTTAATATCCACCATAGTGAAAAATGTTATCTGATGATCTTTGAACTGTTTCCAATTAAAGGTGAGTTTTTGTTTTTCTAATTTTGGCAGCAATTGAGAAGATATTTTATACTATACATGTCTGTAGTGTAAATTAGTCAATGATTTGACCTGTATGGTTTGAAAACTGGGTAAAAAAATATCAATAAATAAATGTTAATCTACTTAAGATAAATGTTGTTTCTTTGATGAGTTGAAATTTAATTTAAATCAAATTTATTTCCTGAAATCCACCAAACTACTAGGATGAGAATAAGCCAGAGTTTTTGGATCAAAATTATCCCAATCCCACTAAAAAGTTTCGAACAYCACAAGTTGAGGGTTTGATTCAGATTAAAACCAGTATTGAATTACATGGTCAAATCCAATTTCAGAATCTGTTTTTGGTTTTGAACAACTCATTTTCAAGATTTTGTCCAATCCATTATCCAAAATCCTATCAGATTACCTCAGAACAACCGGCGCCTGACTGTACGTGTTCTCAAAGTACCGGTTCACTGTGGCTGGGGGAGATGCCAAAGCAAAACATCATCACCCACTCTGCCCAAGACCTCCCAGGACTTTTGGGGTTTGGACAGTTGGGCAGAAGATTTTCCATAAAACATCCTCTGTCCAACCAATGGTGATATATTCACACATACAACTTAAAGTGTTTTTATTTAAGGAGGAGCATACAGGAAACCTCTGTTCTCGTTAAAGCTATGGAAAGCAGACATTTGTGGCCATAAAGAAAAACAAAGTCACAGATTAATGTGGTTCGAAAACAAGGAGTTACTCAACAGTTTTTACAAGAAATAAAGCAGATTTGAGCAGCAAGTTTCTGAGCTGAAACCAAAAACTACAGACAATTTAACACACTGAGAACAGAAAACCTCTCCGTCCACAGAGCAYCGTGACCCACAGCCAGAAATCAGAGGTGCTGCTGCAGGCAGCTTTTAATGGTGACGGTAATTAATAAACAAGTATATTTGTTTATTTCATCAGAGACTCTTTGTTTAACAGCTGATAGCTGATGACACCCTGACCTCTTTGGGACTTTTGTATCTAAAGTTTAACTTTGAAATGTATACTGAACAAAGTGATGATTCGCATACAGGCACATTCAAACTTGCACATATGATCAAACTGGGAAAAATATCAGAACCCACTCAAAACCAGAAAAAAATGTGTTTTATTTTTTATATTAAAAGGCTCTGAAAATATTCTTTGAAAAGACCCAATGTCACTGAGCCAGAAGCTCCAGCAGTGAGAAAAAACTCACAAAAAGCTGCTCTTTGTAAATAAATCCTCCAAGTTCTGAAACTATGCTATAATTTTTATTTCTGTCTTAGAAAAAATGCATTATATGTAATAAGTACAATACATTATTTATTTATGTTATTATTCAAATTATGTCTTGTTGACTTGTTGAGGTTAGAAACTTAGGAGAAATTTCTTATATTAGTATTTAGTGTATAGTAGTATTTAATTACCTTTATAATAAGAGCTGTCCTCCATGTATCGAGACAGTCCAAAGTCTCCCAACTTTACACAGTCAACTGTGGACACCAGAACATTTCTTGCTGCAATATCCCTGATAAAAACAAATATTTAAAAAGAATTAATAGAGGAATGAGAAACATTGTTTGGTGGCATTTGGTTGAAGTATTTCAGAATGTTGTCATACCTGTGCACAAAGCGTTTGCTCTCCAGATACGCCAGCGCTGTGCTGAGCTGATAAGAGTACAAGATGAGAGAAGCCAGATCTAAACTGTATTTTCTAACCTGGAGAAATGATCGTAGCTATGGACACAAAAAGATAGAGGAAAAAAAAATCAGCAGTGAGCAATAAATATGATCAAGGACAAACAAAAAGAGAACATGAACAAAGATAAAGAAAAGTTTACAAAGAAATTCAATTCATACAAAAAGGTCAAGTGTGAGTCTAACAACCTGTCTAATACCTACCAGTATTAAAAGAGCAACAGTAACAAAAAATACAAAACATGATTTCTGTTTGTATTAATGTATTCTGTTTTAAGGTTTAAAATTCTCAAGTCTCTCTTTTCTTTCATTTTTACATAATATCAACAATTTGCTCATGTGGCCCTCTGAAAACGAGTTTGACACCACTGATCTTAGTGTTGTACCTCTCCAAGTGTGCAGAGCTCCATGATGATCCACACTGGGTTCTCTGTAATGACCCCCATCAGCTTCACTATGTGAGGATGGTCGAACTGACGCATGGTCACTGCAGGAGTTCAAACAAAAAGGTTCACACAAACCAAACAATGGAGATGCCGCTGTCCTTCTGCAGAAAGGGCTCATTTACAAATAATTAGTTCCAGGTTTTGTGCAGGTACGGTTGCACACAAAGAACTTACATGCTTCCTGCAGGAATTTTTCCCTGACGCTGTCTGACGTTGAGTTCTTACACGTCTTCACTGCGACAGACAAAGCCGGATTGTCCTGAGAAACAAATACATCAAAGCAAATTCATTAACAGTAATATTACAACATCAGACACAGCAAATTCACTGTCTGCTTTCAAATCTAACAAAAAACAAGAAAATTCAACTTTGAAACTATGCAGATAAAAAATTTAGGAAATCAATACAATTATTTAGACCCTAAATAATTCTCTAAACTTCTCTAAATTTTAGAGACATATTTTACTAATACTGTTACAGAGCAATAATAAGCTGCTCTTATTTTATTTTGGTACACCTTTAGTGTTGAACTGCTTTAGTAGAAACTGTTGTGATAGAAGACAATCTTAGTCAGTCTTTGTTTATTTCTTAGGATCCAAATTAGTCTAAGCCTTGGCAGAGACTACTCTACCTGGAGTCTAACAAAAACATATTAAAACAAATCAATCAATATAACCACAAAGCATAACAGCCAGAACACACACCCGAATACAAAGACAACCAACTTCAACACTTCAAATTGAAACAACCAGCTCAAACACTTTAAAATTACTTTTTTTAGATCATTATTACGTTTATCATGATTATCAAAAAATGCTATTTCTGAAGGCAACGTGTTCCAGTCAGAAATACCTATACACGCACGCACACACACACACACACACACACACACACACACACACACACACA